AAGTTCAGACCACCACTACTGCAAAATTCTGCAGCAAGGATATTGACACGTGCAACCAGAGGAATATGGTGCTGTATTGTATCTACTGCCTCATGCTATAATTTTATTTATTTTGCCTATATGTTTTTTATATGGTGCTGCTTTGTGTTCTAAGCCTCATATTGTGCAGCACTTTGTGACACTTGTCTGAGTTTGTATTTGCTTGTCCAGCATCATCCACTCAGCTAGTAAGCAACCAAAAAGCTGTCTGATTGACCACGCTGCTGGATAGAATGGAGAGGACCACTCCAGGTGAAGGACAGGATCTTCTAAAAAAATGGAAACAGGCACAGATTTACTTCCAGCTATTATTTTTTTCAAATGAAAAATGGAGAACAGATAAGCAGATCATGGCTTTTCTACAGTGAATGGAAGGACTGTGTTATTTACTTTTGCCGTCGCCTCTTTGGAAACACAGGAAGGAGCAATAAGGTAAGGGAGCTCAGTGCTTGGAAAAATCTTTGATTCCTTTTGAGACAGTATGAAAAGTCAGCTGAGTACAAAACATGGAGAGGAAAACAAGAAAAGGGACAAGAAGAGAGGGACAAAACATAGAACAAATAATGTATGTGTATTAAAATGTTTGTATCTGTATAACGGATTTGTTTTATGTGTTGTCTTCTCAGTTCAGAGGGCCCCCTGCCTGTCTTTGCCTAGGGCTCAAAATTTCCTAAATCCGCCCCTGGGTTCAAAAGTAAAATGAGCTGTCCAAACAGAGATCACTCAGGTCTCCCACTGGGACATACCTCTTCCTATTTTTTAATGTTGTGGTGTTTTCCTTAATGTTGCAGTGCTTTTGTGATTTGTAATAGTGCTTCGTTAATGTTGTAGGGGTCCTTCAGGTTCACCGTACATGAGGAGAATTACGACGTCAACTCCAGGTAACGATCAAATATGTTATATAATGATAAGTAAACTTAGTGAGCATCAAAGATCATTTTATTAGATTATTTAACAGATTATGGGAATGTGGAAAACTAGCCAAGAGTTGGAAAGAGGCTCCAGTGGTTCCAACACCAGAATCTGGCAAGAATTTTTCAAGACCAGAACATTATAGGCCGGTTGGTCCAACATCATGCTGGAGTAAAATCATGGAGAAAATGGTTCATGAAAGACTATGTTAAAGTGAGAAGGATTTGTCCCCTTCAAAGTAAAGGCTGTAACGCCCCGGGGCCTCCTCACACGGTTCTTTTCCTGGGAGCAAGTTATTTACCACTCTTAACTCAAACTCATTAAAACCATATAAAAAAGGACTATAAAAACAGGAGTAAAAAAGTAACAGAGTTTATTCTAGATCAGGTCGTTACAGGACAGAGAAAAATGCTTCGAGCTATGCACAGCTGTGGTCTCAAAAATCACGTCCGCAAGCGTCCGGCAAAGTTTGAGCCCCGAACAACGTCATCACATGCTTCTTATACCTTCTGAGTCTGTGTCGCATCATGTGGATGCTTAGCTGTCCGTATCAGAAACTGACACGCCATCCATGTCTTGAATTCCATGCAGGTTGCCTCTCTGTCTCAGGGTTACAGATACAGCAGCTCTCCTATCAGACCGGCTCCAAGATGTGCCCATATTCTGTGTACTCTTAGAGACACGAAGGCTGTCTTGATTAGATGACCTCCGTACACACCGTGACATCCACAATGTGAAGGAAGGCCTTCTGCTCTGTCTAATCTGACAAACAAATTAACAGTGCACATGATGTATAAATGATAAACCTAACAACTCCCCCTGATAAGTTACCGTTTTTACAGGTAACTTAAAAACACAGGAAGCGGCACATCTTCGAAGGACCGGGTGACCCAGAGAGCATCTATAATTAGTCAAGTATCATTAATTAGGGATCAAAAGTAATCACAATCAAAGCTTCACAGACCAAATGTTCTCACTCAAGACCAGAGTTTCAGCATTTAACTACAATTTGGGTGTCATCTAATTAAAGGAAAGCTGTTTTAGTTTCCTATGCGCACATTATTTTAAGTTACCTTAGCCTAGATAACCTAAGCCTATAAATCTAATAAGGCCAAATTCATCTACTCTCACTCCCACCTGGAGGCTTCCTAAATGTGACCGTTCCTCATGGATAAACCATCTACCCAACTTTACCAATCATTCAGTCACAGTAGGGGACATCACAGGACAGGTTGGGCCGTTCTCCACTGGAAAACGCTACCCTCTCTAAAAGGTAGTAAAAACCGGGGTGACCCCGGGGAAATCCCACTCTCGGCCAATTTGAGCAAGAAAACCCCGTTTTGAATCTGATAATTACCATTACCAACTACTTAAAGAACCTGTAAGGTTCAGAGTCTTCCTACATCAAAGAAAAAGTAGCATAAAATGTGATCTTGGTGGGTCTGGAGCAAAATGTCTCCATGATTTTCATCAAAACCAAATCAAAATAAATCAAAACATATACATCACAATTAGGTAAAATAAAGAATTATCCTGGTCCGAGTTAAAAACAAATGATGAATATCACTGATGATGATGGATTCTTTCAGTGTCTCTATCACTCATCAATCTAATTAATCAATCAGAGTCTCGTATGGCCTCCTCCACGGCCACTTTGTTCGCCATGCAGTCCAGCGGCCGATAGATGCTGAATCCATGTGGTGGTTCTCATGGGCTGTTTTCATCACAGTTCATCAACCCTTTCCTCCGGGATCCTTCGACACACAGAGAGTGCAGTCAGTGTTCTTATCACGATAAACAATGTCTTCAATGAGCAATTCTTTATTCACTCAAAATCTAAGTGCAGTCACAACCAGATTTTCTTATCCACAATTACTTTCCCTTATCCCTTAAATCACCATAAAACTGACAACATTTAAATTAATTATCCATGGACTCTGTGTTTTTTCAGCAGATTATTTCAGTGTCTATTCAAAAAACAAAAAATAAAAATAAATAAAAAAGAAATCCCCAGAAACATTAAACATTTAACATAACCTACCTTTCAATGCCTGGCAGTTGAAAGTTATTTATACCAGTATGTATTCAGCCTGAACATCCTATGGATGTTTCAGCTCATCATTTTATGTTCATATAAGCTCAAAATCACTGCAACTAATATAATCTAATTCAAGGAACCTGTAAATATTTAGAAAACATTTAACCCTTTTTTACACATTGTAACACTCAATTCATGGATTAAATGAATGAATTTTAACACCATTTCCACATCATAGCATATTAAGTTGTAGTTTCGTCTAAACTTATAACTGCATTTTAGTTTACTTTTATCCCCTCCCCATTGAAAATTAATAGAAGTTCTTTAATCTCTAAGGAAAAAAACCCAGCTTGGCGCAGATTCCCCCTATTAAAACTCCCCCACCAGACCTTGTATCCGTGAATGTTAGTGCATGAAAGAAAAACCCCATTCCCATGTGGATCCTTGTGTTCTTCCAGGCGTTAACCGTGTGTGGGCGTGTTGTTACGTGACAGTATGTGTGTGTGTCTATGTGAGTGGATCTATATGTGGGAAACTGGTCAGGAGCCATCCCGCTACTGGTTTGGAAGAAAAAGTGTTTCTTGGAGTAGTGATCCTCTCCAACATGCAAAAAGTTCGATGTTCGGACAAGTCCATCAGGTTTCCCTCTGTTACCACAGCAGCTTTGAACCATAAGAGTCTTGGGGCCATGTGTTCCCACACCCCCTGAAGGATAAGTCTTTACCTGTGTCATCAGCAGTATCACATAGAGGTAGAAGGAAACAGTGCGTCAAAGATGTTCCTCCCTTCAAGAGGAAATGTCATATTAAATCGTTCATCTGCTCAGAGCACAGGATTGTACTCTGACTTGCTGCTGCATTCCCAAAACTCAGCAGTACACAGTTCCTGAAGGTGTTGAATTCGACTGCACCCCCTCTATGCAAAGTGTCCAGCTATAGTCCATTTAAAATATTCTCCAAAAAGCAGTGCTCCGATGAGAAAAAACAAACAAAACAAAAACAAAATTCAAGGAACAAAATAAAAACAAGAAAAAAGAAAATCTGTTCCAACATCCCCAGAACCAGTCAATAGTTGTCATATCTGGACCCCTGACCAGATCCAAAAATGTGCAGGAAACATAATCTCTTCTCATATGTGTTATCTCAAATAAACTAAACACTAAAGTGTGCATCCCCTCTAAAGTATTAATTGCAGCTGTAGTGAAGTAAAGTCAGGTGTTCTTATTGCTTCATGCATTAAAAGTATGGTTACCCATCCCCCAAATTGTATATAGCCCCTCAAATGCTATTTATAACTCTGCTCGCAGTAAAAAACCAAACAAAAAACCCCAAAATAAAATTAATCAAAACAAATAAAATAAAATAAAAATAAAAAAAATAAATGGTGAAGTTTTAGTCCCTGGGCCTGATATTGAATCGCCATAAGCTCATTAACACTATAAGTCTTCATCGTTATTGCTTATATTGAAAGAAACCATCATTTGCTTTAAACATTTGCTCCTAAAATGTTATAATTTCCCCTAAATTGCATTCTGTTGATGCAACTTTACCATTCCCAAAAGTTAAAGTTTCAACTTGTTGTCCCTTTAACATTCTGCTAATTAATAACTGACCAAACTATTTATCAAAAAACCCAGTCTAATTTATCACATAGTAAAACATCTCTAAATCCTCTTTTTTATTCCTCTATTTAAGAATACTCCACCCCCTGATGATATAAAGAAAATTTAGCAGACCATTTAAAATCTGTCGGTAAAGTTACTCCTATAATTTATATTCTATGTTGTTGCCATCGCTTCTGATATTTCTCTTTAAGAAAATAAATAAATAAAGCAATAATAATAATAATCCCCAAACTACTGCCGCGTTGTTCAGAAAGATATTACATCTACCTGTTGATCCCCGTAAAGCAAAAATGTTATTCATAGATCTGTATTAATAAACCGGTTTAAAATAAGTTGTCCATAATTTTTCATTGTGAATAAGAAATCTGGTGTGTCAGTTCACTTATCTTTTTTTTTTTCATCCGTCTTGTCCGCTGATCCCATGACCTTCCATCAACCCATCACTGCCAGTGTTCTTTTCTCATCTGAAGCAGTGGGCATCCAGTCATTTCCTTAATGTTCGCATCTCAGCAGCTGCAAACCATCCCTCCTTCTGTAGTTTAGGAGCAAAGTTTGTCTCTGTGCCCCTTGTAGGTTAATCCATCCTGTGACTCAAGAAAGAAAGTGTCCAATGTCTCTCCAAACAAAGATCCATTGTTCATTTTGAAACATTCCCATCCGTAGTGTAGTCAAAACTATTCAAAAAATTTAACATGCGTGCCACGTCTTTTTTTTTTTTTTTTTTTTCATAAAGTCTAAGATGTTAGTAAACAAACAAAAAACAGAAAACAAACAAACATACAGACACAAACAACGACAAACATGTAAGACAACAAAAAACCCCAGTGGTGCCTCCGACTTCTCCAAATAGTTGTTGGTTCATCTTGTCATTCGTTAAATGCCTCTGTCAGCATGACTGCTCTTAATGTTCCACCCCAACAAAAGTCTGTGAGCTTCAAACCACCACATCAATCTGTACCTCATAGGTCATATCAGAACCAGAGAGGAATTAAAACAAACCCAGAGCTCACCGGAATGGCCTTCAGCCGGGAACAAAACATGCAGCCACAATCTCTACACCCTGTCTCTGGCATGCTGCGTTCTCACACCATCTCTCTAATGTCCTAATCCATGGTTCCGATCCAGTCCAGTTACTAACCAAGTCAGTCCAGTCAGTTCGAACCTATTCAAATCCTCCTATCGAAAAGTTTTCAACTATCTGAACCCCCCTCTCTCTCTTGCTCTAGTCACTCTCAGCCAAGTTGTCCATTTCACATGCCAGAACTTCTGCAGCTGTTGGGAAAATAAGGGTTAATGCACATCTTAAACAAAACACAATGAAGGATGAGACATTTGTCAGCCTGTCCTGGAAGAAAAAATTTTAACATTTAAGGATTGTTACAAACACAGCCTGAAAAAGAAAAATAAAGGAACATGTTTAAGAAAAACGATCTCCTGATCCTCCTTAAATGGGCCTCTGAATAATCCTGCCTGCTCCCTGACAGCCGCACTGTCACTCTCTACAAGCAGGGAAAAAGTAAATTACCCCTCTGGTTTGTTACCAGGAAAAAGCAATCAAAAAGTTCATCAATTAGTCAATAGTTAATCACTTAATCCACAGAAATTTGTAAAGGTAGTAGAATCTAACACTTCATGCAAAGAAAGTAAGGCCCAGATGAACAGTGAAAAGTGTTAGTGTTAGTAATGATTAGAGATGCAAATTAATCAGTTCGTGCTTAGGCAGTTTCCAAACGGCATTATACACAGATAAAAATAATTATGGATAAAAACTGAAGGCTGAAAAAACCCAGGGTCAGGTCACACCGAAATCGTTCTTAACTCTCCAGCCTTGTTTTTAGAAAAGTTGACCCCGCTAATCTGCTGAGCTCCTGCGGGTATCTTGGCCATATGCTGTGTCCGGTTCCAGTTCGAAGTGTGATTTATCCTGTCCCTAATCGATCTCTAATAAAATCCTAATGAGAGAAAAATGAAACTAATCAATCTCTAATGCAATTCTAATGATTGAAAATGAAACTACCTTTAAATTAAAATCATGTAATGCCCCCGTCTGAGATTTTAGTTTCCCAAAAAGTAAAAACACCCATTCTGCTTCTTTCTGGATAATTACTTATATATTTAATAATTTTTCTAATCTATAATCTATTAATCTACAGTATCTCAGCTGCACTCCACACCCAAAAATTACCTCACACCCTACAACAGCAATCTGCTCTGGTCTTGTCAGAGCCTCCCCTAGTTGGGGCCCCTGAGCAACATGTTTGATACGATTACCCTTCTGTTATGCCCCCAGTGCTCCTTCTCAATCCTGTAAAAATGCAAATCATGTTAATGTCACATCAAAAAATATTCTTAATCATTCCCAACTTCACCACACACATTCTACCTCACATGCATACCACATTTAGGACAGACAGACAGACATTGGCCACATAAAGTTTGTTTAATCCATCAGTATCAATTTAGATTTATCTTCTTAGAGGATTTTTTCCCAATTTAAACAAAAAATCATAATCTTTTCACCAGTCCGGTCTTAAGACCTCTGCACCAGTGCTTTTCAGCCTCATTATAGGATCCTTGTTAAACTATATGTGCACATTTATGGAAACCTAAGATTTATTTGCTCACGTTAGACACCAAAATAAGTTTTCACAACCAATGATTTTTAATTCTAAGCGTCCCCCAAAAATGACATGTTTGAATTTTCAAATATGAGAACACCTCTAAGGGGTTCTGAAAAAGTGGTATGTTTTGTTTTTCTCCTGAAAATCCCATTTCCTGTGTAGTTTTTTGGCAGGTGGGCACATAAAGATTCATGGGGCTGTATCTGGCCCCCGTATCAATCATAAAAGGACAGTTACTGCCCTCAATCAAAATATCTATCACCGCTGCTGGAAATTTCTCAAAAACTACCTCCATAACTAAACAAATAGTGGGATCCCGGCCTCCCTAGTGTTGCTGCATTTACGTCCTTTCTCTAATTCTTACTGAACCCGCACTTCGATCTTCTTTGCCCATTTCTCCCCTTCTCTATCAAACTCACCCTCCATTTCATCTACTGCTGTCTGCCTCTCTTTTATCCACTGAACTCAACCGTCCTAATTTATCTGTTCGATGTAACCCACTCTATTTTGAACAGTTGACTGAGTAAAGATCCATTTAATCCACCTTAGAGTATCCTCAGTGATCAGTGTCTAATTTATATTCACTTTGCTACAGTTTGACAAACTTAGCTTGTGTGGTCTAACATTTTCAAATATAAGCTCCTGAATCAGTCACTCTAAATGCAGATTACAATACCATTCTAGTGTAGTAATTGGTAGATGTCTTTAAGGTAAAAACTGCTTCTAGACTCCTGGGCCCTGCCTCTGCTGTGATCGGCCCTGTGTGCACTCAGTCTCTCTGTGTCTTCTTTTCCTTTTCTCTCCTGCCTCTAAGTGAAGGGCTGCTCTGTGTGATCCACCTTCTGGAGCTCAATGTTGGGCCGGGGTTGGGGTTTACAGCACTGAAAATGTACTAATTGATCTTCTTACCTTTAAAATGTTAATTTCAAGACATCGTAAATTGTAAATATATCAACCTCTTATATTTTAAGCTTTCCTTCCTCCAAGGTTCACCTCCAAAAATCACAGAAACATCGACATTTTCATAACAATAGGAACTGAAACGCTGAAATGCTTTATTTACCGCCTCCTCTATTAAATCTTGCATCTGAAACTCTTTTCGTACCTCTTGTCCCAATTCTTCCTCTGTAGGCCTTATTTCACAATTTATCTGACCTTCACGCAACTCCATAACAGGCATCTGCACACATGGGTTTGATGGAAACATTGCATCACCAGCCGTACGAAATATTTCTACACCTTGGTGTGGACTGGGGTCCATAATAGGCTCTGTTTCTGCAATATTAGATGTACTCATTAAAGGTTTTTCTTACCCTCTGAAGTGTCGAGTGCCTGCTCACCTCCCTGAGCCCCGTTTTGCTCCACCTGTTCCTGTTCAGGGTCCTTGTCAGAAAAATAGTTACTAAAATTGAACTTGGTTTGTCTAATCAAATCCAAAAGTTTTGTTTCTTCCTTCTGGTGTTTGTCTCGTCCGAACACACCAGCACCAGCCATTTTTTCACGAGCTTGTGACAATCTATTTTTTAGTGTATCCAAATAAAAACCACGTTGTGAAGTGTTTGGAGGGGGCCCCTCTAATTCCCCAAACACTCCATCTTCTCTCATTTTTTCAACCCATTCATCAAATTTTCTAATGTGGTGTTCTGCATCCTTCAATGGATAACTCGCCATGATCATACTTCTCCCTTTATCCAGACTCGCTTTTAACGAGGTGTTTCTGGATTCAATTTCTAGTCCACATGCATCCATCTTTCACACCTTCCGTTCACACAGTGTATAAGATCAGACCTCGACGTCTTACGTGAGATCCCTCTGGGCTTTAAACCTTTTCCCTACAACCTTCAGTGAGCCGCTCTTCTGCTAAGGAAGCGCGTCCGTCAACAACTGTGTCCGTCAAGGAAGTGTGTCCGTCAAAAAAATGCGTCCGTCAGTGAAAAGGAAAAAAGAAAGGAAATTTAGAGAAAAGAAAAGATTTAGATATAGTTCCGCCTAGTTCACTCCACCAACTTTGAGGATTAGACAAACAAGTTACCTAATCCGGGCATCAGTCTCTTCTAGTTTTATGAGGAATAGCATTTTATCATCTCTCTCTTTTCCTTTTATAAGAGAAGAGAAGGAAAGAGAAAAATACCTCAAAGGTCCGTTTCAACCTGACCCGCTCGCTTATTTCCAGTCTCGGTTTTTCGTAAATGTCCTTATGGGAGGTATACTGGCAAACTCTAGCCGGCTATGTGACTGGTTTCTGTCTGTGCGTCTGTTTTCAGAAGTGCATCTTTCGTGTCTGCAGGCAGACCGGGAATAAAATCACCGTCCCTTTCTGCATGCAGAAACCGTTGGGCTCTCCAACCAACTTATCCTAGTGAATAGTATAGTTCTTGAAGACGTTTGCGCAGTCGCCTTCAGTCGGACTTTCAACCGCTACCCACAGCAGAACGCACGACTTTTTTCCTCTCTCTCGACTTTCTTCCTCTCTCTCTCCTTTTTTTCTTTTTTTTTTTTTTTTTTTTATGTGTACACGTTCGCAATGTAAAAAATTAAAAACCAACAAATACAACAAAACAAAAACCGCAAAAACAAAAAACTAAAATCACTCTGAGCAATTTCTCTGTCCTCTTTTGCATAAAAAGCTTCAGCTCACTTCAGAAAATCACAACACAGCCAAAGTGTTTTAACAGTAAAAACACTGGAGATATTTTGTAATAAGGAATCTCCTCACCTTATCAGTTGTTTCGGCCGCAGGCTGTGGAGCTTTTTCCATCGGTGGCTCTGTTGTTTTGCTTCCAGGTCACGGGCGGAAACACCAATTTGTTAAAGTGAGAAGGATTTGTCCCCTTCAAAGTAAAGGCTGTAACGCCCCGGGGCCTCCTCACACGGTTCTTTTCCTGGGAGCAAGTTATTTACCACTCTTAACTCAAACTCATTAAAACCATATAAAAAAGGACTATAAAAACAGGAGTAAAAAAGTAACAGAGTTTATTCTAGATCAGGTCGTTACAGGACAGAGAAAAATGCTTCGAGCTATGCACAGCTGTGGTCTCAAAAATCACGTCCGCAAGCGTCCGGCAAAGTTTGAGCCCCGAACAACGTCATCACATGCTTCTTATACCTTCTGAGTCTGTGTCGCATCATGTGGATGCTTAGCTGTCCGTATCAGAAACTGACACGCCATCCATGTCTTGAATTCCATGCAGGTTGCCTCTCTGTCTCAGGGTTACAGATACAGCAGCTCTCCTATCAGACCGGCTCCAAGATGTGCCCATATTCTGTGTACTCTTAGAGACACGAAGGCTGTCTTGATTAGATGACCTCCGTACACACCGTGACATCCACAATGTGAAGGAAGGCCTTCTGCTCTGTCTAATCTGACAAACAAATTAACAGTGCACATGATGTATAAATGATAAACCTAACAACTATTTATTGAATCCAATGGATATTTATCTAAGCATCAAAGTGGTTTTAGGACAGGGAGGAACACCATGGACCCTGCAATATGTTTACAGCATGAGGTAATGAAAGCTAAAGTTAATAAAGAAAGTGTTTAGGCGTTCTTTCTAGATAGAGAAAGGCTCATGATATGATGTGGAAAGAAGGATTAATGATTAAACTGAGGAAAATACAATCTATAACTGGTTAGATAAACACCATTAATGATATATGTTCTTTTCAATGATTTGATTCAATCCTTAATAAAGCTGCCATACTATCAGACATTATTTTAATTATTCTGTTTTTCCATCCAGTTTAAACTTAAAGGTTTTGCTAAAGAGCATAAAGAGAACAACCCATTTCATTCTCTGCTTCTTTAAATGTATCATTTATCATAACAAAAAATAATAAAGGACTTATTATTCTTCCTTGGGGTCCCATTTTCTAAACCATATTTCCCTGAATAATCTAACTAACTCTTCCCTGTATTTCCTGCTCTTTTAAAAAAACATCTACCCTAAAAAGAGGGGTTTTAGATTTCACTCAGTCAGCTTCCTGTTTCAGTGCTTCCTAAATAGATCTACTAAGAGTGTAAACATTTGTACAATAAACCCTCTCTTAGTTTGACAGATATTGGTATGAATCCCCAGAAAGTCTCACTGTGATTTGAGGTTTTTTGACAACTGAGGCCTTTAAACTCAGTGGAACATGGAAACAGGTTTTAGGAAAACAAGTTGATGTTCAAGTTCTACTGTATGAAAAAGAAACAGGAATGCAAATTCTTCTTATAACTGAAATTCATCTTATAACTGTACAGTGTTCATATTTATGTTCATATGAGACAATAACTGGATTATTCAGTGACTAAATATCTAAAATTATTTTAGCTCATGTTTTAACGTGAAACCTTAAGCTTTGGTTCAACACTCCTCTAACCTTGAGTGATGGATCAGCCGTCTCAGGCAGCCGCTGCTGCTTATCAGGAGTAAAATGCAGAGGCTGTACTGCATGGTGCATGATGGGAAAATGCCCTCCTGTCACAGGTTAACGGACAGGTAATTAGATCTAAAAAAAAAAAAAAAAAAAAAAACGCAGCTACATGTTCTCAATAACCTTTCAATTCGTCTTATCCGTATGCATAAATACACATTTGAAAAGTAATCAACGGAATATTTATTCCAAATATTTGTTAATTATTGGCTAAATACGTTTTTAAGATGGAGGGAAATTCCTATGATTAAATGTATAGAAATAACATTCAGAACACTTAATATATGCAATATTAGGCTATGCTTGGCTGATTGTTCAATACTATTGTGCAATGGTGAAAGAGCACTCAACTATAGTTACAAAAATACATAAAAAAAGGTAAAAGTTGCTCGGTCAAACATCTACTCAAGTTAAAGTAATGAAGTACTCACTTTTAAAAGTACTTAAGGATACAAAAGTATGTGTATATAAAAGTACTTAAGTATGTAAGAAATACAAATTAAACATTTCAATATGAGTACATTTCATTATTATTTTGAGAGTAATTTTAAAGAACCTGAAACTTTCAGAAACCACCTGATGTAACGACCCGTAGAATTACCTTCTACAGATTCTACACCACCTTGAAAGAGCTTCAGCATAAAAAAGCCCCAAAAAGATGATCAGATATTTTGATCATCTCGTATTTATAAAACAAACCAAAAGGAAAACAGGATTGTCTTGTTTCTCCTCAAACTTTCACTTTGTATTAATAGATTCAACGTTAAACCTCTATTGCAAAGAAAATGCAACTCCGCTTTGAGACTCGTCCTACTGGACAACTCGGCCTTAACGCTTCAATAAAATGTATTATTATTCCGCTCATTCATGGAACGTTATCAAATCTCTAAACATTGGTGTCCAGATTCAGTCCTTAGGGCCATGTTGAAATGAAAAAAAGTAGCAGTGGATTACAAAGCTAAGCTGAGCTAGTTGCTTGGTTGTAGCGGCTCTGGACACACACAGTTATAGCAACTGAAACACTTGTTTTATCAGGTGCCAAACCAACTGGGCCAGAATATGTACCTACCTTATTTCCTAATCTAAGTTCTCCAACAAGCAAAGGAGGATTTATCCAATGGCCAGATTTGAACTCAGGCTCTAAAAAGCAAAAAGATTAATGCTGACAGAGAAGCAACAGGAAAGACTGGAGAAGACAGGTGAATGACATTAAACTATTTATTTTACAGCTTTAGTTTGTCTTAAAATATTGAGAAAACATGGAAAAAGATTTCTGATTTATATAAAACCATAAAAAGAACCACATTTTTACAATCCAAGAGGTTTTTAATTTCTGCTCGTTCATCAATTTAGAAGTGATTACAATAATTAAAAACATCCACAGCAGAATATAATACTTTTTTCAGTCATAGCAGGTAAATAGAACATCTACAAAATCAAGAACAAAACTATTACAGTTAGTTCAATAGAAAATTATACTTTAAAAAAAAAAATCTTTAAAAAGCAGAAACTTCACACTTCTAGAGGAGAGTCAGATTTCTTCAATAAATTACAAAGGCTTTTTGCCAAGTTAAAGCAGATTTAACCTGATCAGTAAAAATAACATCAACAATCCTGTTTATCTTTTTAAACAGACATGTTTCATCATTTTAGGACTTCAATTTACCTGAACTACAGACTCCAGCCACTGAATAAAACTGTTCCTGGAATATATCCAACCAAGAGCTTATCATTCAGCAAAAATACTCTAAGTCCCAATAAGTAAATAAATAAATATTATATATATCTTATTTTTTGTTTTTCTCTGAATAAATTCATTCAGAAAAGGTTATGCCACACCATGCCAAAATGGCACAGTAGGGGCCTGTAGGGATTTTAATTACTTGCTGTATTGACAGCAAACTTGTTTAATTAAAAAAAGAAATGTCATTTTTTATATTACTATTTTTTTCTTTTTTAATGTTTTTATTACTGCTTTTCAAGGCTGCACTTTAAAAAAAATAAATTGACTAGAGCTGTTTTAAACGAAATTTCATTTTGTATACACTCGTGTATACAAAATGTAACCAATATGCTGTAGTTTCACTTTATGTTTATTCTCTTCATTACAGAAAAAGTAAGAAATTGTGAATGTAAACATCTTTTTTATTAGGGCAAAACTATTTTCTTGGCCATTTAAAATCTAATTTACTCAGGCAAAAAAATAATGAACTTTCAAATATTCACATCCACATATTCACCCAGGACCTGAATATTTACCAGGTTTACAATAGAACACCTTATCTGTTGTAGATTCTATGTAAACAGAGCTGTTAATCAATGGCCTTCTCAAAACTTTGCTCGAAAAAAACAAACAAACATTAACCCGTGAGGTTCTCATGTAATGAGGTGAAGGAGGTTCTAGATGGACATTTTATCACCACTCAGACATTGAAAGTGACTCTACTCCTCATTCCTGCGACTTGTGTGAAACAAATGTTTTAATAATATATATAAATTATTCAACATAATGCATGAATAAATGTCATCTGAATACTCAAATTACCTTCTTCTTTACAACCGTTGTTAAAAATCATTCAGGAGACATCTTCTCACCTATGTGAACTCTCATGTGTTTAGTCAAACTACTCTTTTCAGTAAAATTCTTGTTACAAATTGTGCAGGAAAAAGGCTTTTCACCTGTGTGAATTCTCCTGTGAGCAGTCAAACTACTTTTTTTAGTAAAGTTCTTGTTACAAATGGTACAGGAAAAGGGCTTCTCACCTGTGTGAATTATGATGTGCGAATCAAGATTAGATTTCTGAGTGAAGCTTTTTCCACAAGACAGACATTCAAAAGGTTTTTCACCTGTGTGAATTCTCATGTGAGTAGTCAAACTACTCTTTTCAGTAAAATTCTTGTTACAAATCGTGTAGGAAAATGGCTTTTCACCTGTGTGAATTCTAATGTGATTATTGAGATCAGACTTGAAGGTGAAGCTTTTCCCACAGGACAGACATTCAAAAGGCTTCTCACCAGAATGAATTCTCATGTG